GAGAGGCTGTTTTATTTTCTATGGTTCTCATAAATAAACTATTAGGATAAAAGATAATAGAAAGAAGGGGAATTAAAATTAAAAAAAAATTCTCAATTTCTGAGAGATGAAGGAAAGGGAAGCAGTTGGCTGAAAATATGTAATCAAATTCATATGTATGCCACTTAAATTGTGGCACCATTTTTATTTAAGTCACTTTCTTTTCATATATGTTTTTCCAAGTGACTAGGAAGGAGCACCCCATTTTATATCACTTGGATAATGGTATTAAGTTCCATTATTTAAGAATCATCATTTAAACCCTATTAACCTAGAGGAAAGAATGTGCAGGAAAAAAAAGAGTTGTTCACTGAACATTAAGCATGCTTCATTGGCTTATCAAGTAATAAAAGTGAAAAGAGAAAAATGGTTCATTATTTCTTTTATTTTCAGAAGCACATTCTGAAATTTAAAAATGTTAATCACAGGCCTATCTTATTTAAGTTGCTTTGCTTTAAGAGTTCTCACATATTCCATGCTGAAGTTAAATCCATATAATTCTAATCTGGAAAATGTCTATTTTTGACAGTTACAACTGTAATTTGTGATAGCTGGCTTAATTGTTTGGGAATGACCATTACAGTGAGTTTCATTTTTTCTTTTGACTTACAAATTGGATCAATACTGAATTATTTTTGAGCTCAAAAATAGCACTTTTGATAACTCTGCATGATATTGTTGGTCTGTGTCTGTTTTCTGGTTGAATTCGACTGATGTCTGTGCATTTTTTCATAAAAGGATATGAAAAGTCTCGAAGCTTAAACAACATAGCAGGGTTGGCCGGCAATGCTCTGAGGCTGTCTCCAGTCACGTCACCCTACAACTCTCCTTGTCCTCTGAGACGCTCTCGATCTCCCATCCCATCTATCTTGTAACCCAACTGCGTCAGCTGGCTAAGTTGTATTAATTCCAGTACTGTTTAACCCATAATGGAAATAACTAAAAGTAGAATTATTCTGGGCTCCATGAATACAGTATTAGTCCTGCATGAGTCTACTACTTGAAGTCAGAAATGTCACTTGAGTAGCTAACAAATCCTATCTTGGCTTTAAAGATTATCTAAAGTAGGATTATTACTGCTCTCTATTAATTGGCCTGATATCCCCTTGCAATAAAATGACATATAGTGTCAGATATTGGCCAGTACACTAACACATAAACGTATATTCAGGGAGACATTTAAAAAGCGTGCTTCCACATGCCAGCTACTTTATTGAAACTTCATTTCTCATGATTAAACCATTCGGAAGATGTCTGGGATCCCATCTGAAATGCACACAGCGTGACTCTGGTCAGTTCATCTGTATGGATCATCTTGTCCCTGTCGCCGAAAGCAATGTCACAGAGATCGGGAACTATGGCTCCAGGATACTTCGCATCAGATCATCCCACTGATATGAGAGCACTGGTTGAGTGTTCTGCAGGTTGAAATGTGGGGCAAGACGATGAGCTTCTCCTTATCACTTTCCCCCTCCTTCTGTGGTAGAAATATTTGCTTTAAGATAGTTTAAATTTTCTCCAAAAGTGCTGATTTGGAGTTCTGAATGTCTTAGGTTGTTTGTACACATAACTGTAGAGAGGTTTTCACTACTCATTACACGCAAGCCGAGGTCAGATCACTTACTTCATGGCTGGGGGAAGGCACAAAACCATGACAGAAAGGTAACTGCCAGCCAGGCTTGCATTGTTACAGGTTGCTGCTTGGTACTAGAGTAACTTTTTAATGCCAAGATTTGTCATTATGTTCAGAAGCAAAATGCCAACTCTGGTGTCCTTTTACCCTCCTCCTTTATTTTGAATTCATTAATTTTTGTTGAAATTACAACAGTTACTGGTATTCACAGGCTTTTTAAACTAGCCTTAAAATTTTGAATCAAATAAAAGATCAGATTTCCAGGCAGTGTTTAATCCGGTGCTTTGTCCTGTATGTTGTTTCTGTCTTTCTGTCTTAACGCCCTGTCTTAACTATATTTGCCAGTTTGTCTCCATGAAATGTAGAAATGCCTTCATAAGGTATTCCCAATTTTATTACTCGATCCCTTCACTCCCAGTCTCTTGTCTTCTTTGCTCTTTGAGGTAGCCTCTCTGCTCTGAGAACAGGTTAATGATGTCCTGTATACTACCTAGATTAGTATGCACTATGAATCTTTGTGATAGGCAGCATTTAAGCAGCAATTTTGCCATGGTATTTGGTTGCACAATGCAGTGTCAATTTCCACTGCCTAGCATAGCGACCAGCATTCGTCAGTACACTGCAGTAAAATCCCTAGGGAGTCTCGCTGAGTTTAAGTGGAAAGAAGTTTACATGTCTGCACCAAATGTGAAAGCAACAGGGTATCCGATGTGTTTGGCATATAAAAGGAGAGAAATACAATGATATAAGCAGAGAAATAAGTAGTTTTAAGGTATCTAGAAACCCTAAGATTACTGATTAATTCCTAGTTGTCATTTTTTTGTTACAAAGACAATGGTCACTTATTATTGGACAGGAAACATATATTATTTTGTATCCTTGAGTCCTAGAGCATGAACAGCATGTCACAGATCTTGCACAGTGGTGTATTTATCCAGATATACATATCTGATATTTAGAGATACTGTGATCCTTTTGATAACACCAAACATCATAATCACACACATTTATGGTAGAGGAATTAAAATGCTGTCTGGTGCTGCTGTTATTGACTGCAGTTTTATACAGAATTTGTCATGGATTTTTGACTGCTGAAAAAGGGACGTTGGAATTTAGCCATACCAAGGATTGTACTGGAAACAACTTCTGCTACCGAACATGCCCTGATTGGACCGGGTCATGCTTGGGAGAGGGCCTTACATCTTCACAAGGCATTTAACACTTGTGCAAGAAGAGAACTGTGGCTGGAACTGCTCTGGTGTTCCCCGTGTGAGTGATCTGCATGGACACTGACCAGTGGCCACGATGCAACAACTGTAAATACCAGTATGTGTGCATGGATCAACAGCTTTGGCCATCTCACATGGAGGGAAGCCAAGTTCATGACAAACATCTCTGAAGCTTCAATTAAGGCCCATGTTTCTTTGCATTCATCCTCAGGGGCCTGACGTAGGTTGTGCTGTGAATTATACAAGGCAGTATACTGATGTAGTATAGATCTGTCTTAATTTTATGTATTTCTACTTTATGGATGGATCCTTAACTGACTATATTGTTGTCTTACAAAACACTTATGTTACCAGCTTGTTAATTGTGTTACAAAATTTAAGTGTCTGTTTATCGAAATTGACCAATTTTTAGTCTCATATTTGTTTAGTTCTGGAAAAATCGCTGTGGCTTAAAAGAATTTCAGCAAGAGTATTACTAGTTTAAGTCTTTTGTCATTGTTACCTCAATTATAAATATTACAAAATATAAAATTCTGGCAATGAGAGTATTTTTTTATTAAATGATCAAGGAATAATGTCAGTATATAATAGAATATTAAATTATATCATAAGATGTATATTTTGCATAAAAGAGATATTCTTCAACCAATTACTTCTTTGTGAGTTTTGTGGCAGATGACGCTTGTACCTGTCTTTAATATTGTTGTAGTTGAAACTGTGTAAGAGTTTTTCATCTTGCTTAATCAATATTTATAGAATTGATTAGTTCCCCTGGGATTCTGAATATAATATATAACTATAAACCCCTGTATTGTGAACCTTTTGTGAACATTTCAAGGTGCATGCATAACCTTGGTGATAACCAATGGACATGTAACTAACTGAAATGAAGAATAAAAGGCAAATGAGCTGGGGATGAACTGATTAAATTATTCACATACTTTTCTTGGCTCTTCCTTTGTGTTCTGTTTTCATTATGGTTTATTATTTTTATGCTTCCTGTTACCCTGTATGACCATAATAATAAGGAATTTGTGGTACAAGGATTGTAAAACATATGTAGCTGTTTTTCTCATTGATGTCTTCAAAACATAACCAGTGTCTTCATCTTTCTTTGTATCTCTTACTTGGTTTGCCTAACTTTCTCTCATTCTAAAGTTGTAAAATGATTAGGTATATGTAGTACCTAATATTTATAGGACATTTTATGATTCATACTAAATTTTCACTTATATTTTCCAATTTAATCCTCATAATTCTGGAGGTAATTTTTTTCCATCTGATTGGTAGTAAAGTTAAGGACTAGTGAAGAACTATTCATTCATATTTTTTGCGACAGATACCCCCCATAGTTATTATGTTTCAAATATTTCTTTCTGTAGATGGAACATTATAAAGATGTCTTTTGTCTCAAGTTTGGAAAATGGATCTCTGTTTCAGCCTCATACTATAAAGAAGTGTCATTCCATTTGTGTGGAAGGGATATGTATAAATTTATGCTATGATATTTTTTGACATCGTCCATAGGTAGAAGGATACAGTGAAAGAAAAAAAAAAGTTAACAAATCCAACACTTTCCCATAATTCATAGGCAGAAGTCTTCAGATGACTAAAAATATTGTGTTGATTACGAAAGGCTATTAAGAAGCTGAGCTCAGGACAGAGAAGGTGTCTACATTTAGTCACTTGAAAAAGATTTTTAATGATTATTCAGGATTTATTGTAAGAAGGAAAACACTGTAGAAGGATAAATAATACATTTTAATATATTTGCCATCAATTTTTGATTAAAAAAACCAGGATTCAGTAACTATGAGCGTAAGATTAAGACATTCATTTTATCTTTGAAATAAATCACAAGATAGACTATAGACTAGCAACAGCGAACTCATCTTTCAAAGACAATGAATATGTAACAGTCTACATTTCAAAGCAGAGATGTCAGAGGATGTACAACGTGATCGAAGACATTTTTTACTAACTGAATCAATTAAAATGTTGAAATTCCTAGAAGTTTGTGATTGAAATACATAGTTTAAAACTTTACCTCACTATAAAACACTATTTCAATATCTATTGCCATATTTAATTTACTGTCTAAATGCTTAAACATTATTTGCATGTCATCCTTGTGTGGGAGTCAGGCTAATCTTCTATGTATTGCTCTAATTTTAGTATATGTGTTACACATATGTATAAAATACTTAAGCGTTATGAGATAATGGATGCACATGAATTTTCTCATACATGGATTCATTATTCTTAACATGGATTTCATATTTTATAATATCATATTGTATAATTCTCCAATAATTAACTGTGTTTGGAAGATACATCTTTTTAAACTTTTGTGTTCACTCGGTTCATCCTTTCCTCTTCCTATCCCATGGTTGGGATTTGTTTCCCTGTCCTAATAGTTTTGAATTTTCCAGAATGTCATAGTCTGGAAAATATATACATGCAATTTTAAGTTTGGGGTCTTTCATTTAGAAATATATACTTGTGCTTTCTCCATGTTTTTTTCATGACTCTGTAACATTCTTTTTAGCACTGAATAATATTCCATTCTTTAGTTGTGTCACAGTCTATCTACTGAAGAACATTACATTTATCAAGGTTTTCAGGGAAACAGAACCAATATGTAGAACTGCTTTTTACATAAAGTGATATATTATAGGAAATCACTTCATGGAATATGGAATTCCAGAAGTCGCGCAATCTGCTGTCTCCTAGCTGGAGACCCAGGAAAGTAGGTGGTATGTTTCCTGTCTGAGTCTGAAAGCCTGCAAACAGAACTCATGGTGTAGATTCTAATCTAAGTGGGAAGGCCTGGGCACAGGAGGGTCAAGACTGTAGATTCCAATCCAAACCCAGAGGCCTAAAAGCTACTCAGGTTGCAATTGTAAGTCCTGCTCCATTGGCAGAACACTGATATCCCAGAAATTGTCCCTCTCTCCACTCTTGTTCCACTCAGACACTCAACAGATTGGATCATGCCCACTCATGTTTCATAGAGGAGTCTGCTTTCCTCACTCTACTGAGTCAAATGCTAATCTCTTCCAGAAATAATCTCAGAGACACATCCAGAAATATGGTTTCATTGGATTTCTGGTCCAGTCAAATTGATATGGAAACTTTAATATCATAAATCCATCCCTTGTGGCCTTCACACTCATAAGCTTTTCCTTCAAACATGCTTAATCTTCAAATAAGAACAACAGTAAGATTATAATTCTAAAATAATTCAGGTGACTCTCTGTATCCTCAGCCTCTGCATAGAGATTTTATCAATTTTCAATTGAAAATATCAGAAGAAATTATCTTAGGCCTAAAGACATACAGATTTTTTTTTTTGTCATTACCCCTAGCCATTACAGGAGATATACACAGACAATCTGCAGATGCCATGACAGTTCATATGAGGCACTTGGCCTTCCTTGAATTTTGCTGTCCTCTAGGGTACTATGTTGGAACCACACTCCCTCAAGCTGTAGTGGACTATGCAACTATTCTATTTTCATCAGAAAATGTATTAAACTATTTTCCAGAGGAAAAGTAAGGTCCTTTAGAGTTGATTGCTCTTCTCTCTAATACCCAATAGCTTATGAAACAAAATTGCATGATGTGGAAATAATAAAGCAACAAAAGACATTTTATATATATATTCAAGATGCCCATAACAAAATAAGAAAGAAACACTCATAACTGGCACTTTAATTGTGGCTGATTTTTATAACTGCACCCTTCATTTACAAACTGAAAATTCCTTTTGTTGTCAGTAGACTGACTGGTTCATTACCTTGTAGAGTGATATAAACCTTCCTTATTTAAAAACCTTCACCTCCACTGACCTTGATCAGAAGACATAGTAAACGATGCCCTCAGAGACTGCCTTTGATTCAGACATATTGTTCCTTGTTTGCATACAGTAGTAATTCAGTTTTCATCTTAGTAGGAAGTAGCAATCACTGTCATGGGCACAGTAGCTCTCCTCTTCGCCTTTTGACTCAAAGGCCTATAGTAGATTCATCATACTTTTCAGTGGAAGCAGTACACGTATTAACTGTAGGCCAAAAGAGCATAAACTTGTGGGAAGAGGAAGCAAAACTCTGCTATTTGGTCACTAGAAGTCAGTTTTGTGCTATTACCACTCTCACCTCTTGATTCCTGGATCAACATATCTTGCTATAGGAGAAACACTATCAGCTAAATATTCTTTTGAAGAAACTTGTCCTTGCTGTACAAGCCATTGTCACTTACCTGGAGCTAGAGTGTCCATTTATAGTCAAGTCCACTTAGTGGAAATCCAGCCTATGCATAATCTCTATACATGACACAGTGGACAATTCATTCATAAGCCTATTGGATAATGACAGGGGTGCCTTGAGAAAAGACTGTTTAACAGACTAAGTAATCTCATCTACTTGGGAATTAAAATCTTTTTCTGATGCATTTGCTCTGTGGTAAAAATTTACATGAGATACAGTTATTTTCATAAGTTTTTCCTCAACCTGAAGGTAGAGGTCTGTTCATACTACTTTGGTACATTTCCTTCTCACTGTCGCATCTCCTGACCATTCAGTCATAGTATTGTTTTCAGCCTATATGTCACTATACAGATTCATGTATGGCCTTCTAAACAAGAAAAACAACCAAAGTCACTAATTATACTGTGCACAGTGGCAGATTCTGCTCACCTATGCCTTTTGAGGATGTACGAGAAAGGGGCCTGTGGTGCTACAGCTGTCTTCTTTCAGGTAATGATTATATCCAATGTTGAATCATCTGGAAACTAGACCAGAGTCTTCTCTTCCCCTTCCAACTAATCCTAGGAAGCCCTCCCCAGAAGTGAAGTAACAGGTTAAGGCTGAGACCTTAGGCCTATGAGCTACCTTTCTCCATCTAACTTATTGTACCATCATGGTCTTCCAAAGCCTAACTACTTCTGTGCCACTCTCATTGATGGAGTACTTCTGTGCTTAGTGTGTTAGATAGCTGTGTTCCATGCTCAGTATCGTCATGTGTTAGGTAGTACTCAATTCATGAGAAGCTGTTCAGGCTGTAGGTAAATCAGTGGCCATTGACCATTCAGTCTGTATCAGGCTGGTAGAAGAGCAAAGGCTGTTTGGAAAAGGGACAGTACAGCAATAAGAGCACAACTTTTCCTGTGTGGAGATTTACCTATAGTTTCCTGCCAAAGGTTCCAAAGAGCATTGTTACCTCTCACTGCTATTTCAAGAACCATTGGATCTACAGAGTCATGTGACCCAAATGGCAAATAGCCTCACTCAGAACTAGCAGCTTTTTAGATCATGTAATAAGTGGGCAGGAGAAACACTTTCAAATGAGATATCTGCCCCCTCCAAAATTCAAAGATGACCACCAAGGTGTTATAACTTATTTTTAGAGTCAATAACTTGTCCTTCACAGTGGAAGTGTTATTTTAACATGCCCCATGCTGCTGGACCTCTAGAAATTTCACAGATATAAGACTAAGTTGTTGAATTTATTTCCAACCTTCTGTCATAATAAACATTACTTCTTAATTAGTTTAGACTTGGTGGGGGGTACTTCTTGCTTGCTGGATCACATAAGGATAATATCACTGATGCTATGGACCAGTCTGACAGTTTTTAAAAGTGAAAGACCATAAAGTTTCTTATAAGAAGTATTATTATTATTATTATTATTATTATTATTATTTTTGCGGAACTGGGGATTGAACTCAGGCCCTTGCACTTGCCAGGAAAGTGCTTATTCCACTGAGCTATCTCCCCGGCCCTAAAAAGTATTATGAAATAAGTATCCCTGAAGTAGGGCTGTAAAGGTGTATTGTTGGCCTTTCCAGCTGAAAGCAAACAGCTAAAGGACTTGATTGACAAAGATAAAGCAAAGGACACTTGCCAGATAATAGCTGTGTACCATATAAATGGAGTTCTTTCTGTTTTCTCAAGCAGCAAAATCATGTGTGATACAGCAACTTCAGTTACGATCCCTACTTAAGTTTACAAATTCATTCCTATTCTCTAAGATCGATTCTTCCTCAATACAGACCAAGTAGGCCAGTTAAATAGGCATGCAATGAGACTCATCACCCCTGTCCCTTCCAAGTTTTTGATGGTGGCAATAATCTGCACCAATCCCTCCGGGAACTCCGTACTCCTTTTGGTTTACTAGATGTTCTCTTGGGTTTTGTCTGACTTTCCTTATCATAGTAGCCTTAACTGCACATGTCTAGGGAAAAAGTGTAGGAATTCTGCCAGCTACAGAGCATATCTTTTCAAATTGTGCACTCCAAATCTAGGGAAATAATTACAGGATGAGATAAGAAACCCCCAGGCCCACGATAGGATGGTCCTAAGTAAAGCTCTGTCAATCACCTGACTCCCGTCAACCCCTAATTGATTGGTGAAACTATTATTTTTCCTGGAATCAGTTGATTTTGGGCAAACTGGAATAAAGCTCCTGTGAATGTCTATAGAGTTTGTGTGACATACATTTTCGACTGATTTAGGTAAGTACTAAAGAGTATAATTATGAATAATATGTTAACAATATGTTTACTCTGCAGTTATTTTAAAATTTGATTATCTTGGGTCGGCCAAATAGCTCAGTGGATTAAAGCACCTGCTTATGCAGACGCAGGGACAGGGGTTTGATCCCTGGTGTGCAGTGCCATTCCTGCCCCCAGGGCGCGCTGAGTCAGCCATTGAGACTGGGCGTGGTGGTGTGTGCCTGAAATCCCAGTGTTTGGGAGGCTGAAAACAAGGGGATCACTATGAGTCCGATCTGTGTAGTGAGACCCTGTAGACCTTGTACTAACTACATTAAAAAAATTAAAAAAATTGATTATCTTATCTAGCTAGCAAAATAGTGCTACTAATATATTTCCATGTGTACCATAGCTGAATGAATGTTAACTCTGTCAGTTGAATTAAAGATATAATATGTATTAGTTAATATCTTGTAAACTTTTTTACTGCAAAATAAAGATACCAAAAGTTACAAAAGAAATCAACAAAAAGAAAAAAAAACAATTATAATTCTATAATTTTCCATTTCACAAATCAAGTCTTTAGTTTGTTACTCTTTCTTTTTCCTTTTGCTATTGTTTTATTTTACCAACATATGCACATCTATGTTTGTTAGTGTGTGCTTAACCTATCATGCCTGAGTTTGCTCTCCATTTACCTTTATAGCTTTA